CTCGCAGTTGTTTGCTGGTTTTGGGTTGCGGCCAGGCCTTCATGGCCTCAATCTTGGATTGGTCCATCAACAATTGCCCATTCTCGATTAGATGCCCTAAGTATTCAATTGTTGGGACTCCAAACTGACATTTACTCCTCTTCACATAAAAGTGGTTAGTGCACAACAGATTTAAAATAACCTCCAAATGGTCACAATGTTGCAAAATATCTCGGCTATACACAAGGATATCGTCAAAGAATACGATGACGAATTTGCGTAAAAATTCCGAGAATAACCTGTTCATGCAGCTTTGAAAGGTCGAGGGAGCGTTGGTGAGCCCAAATGGCATTACGAGAAATTCGTAGTGCCCTTCGTGAGTCCTGAATGCGGTCTTGTGAACGTCTTTCTCGAACATTCTAATCTGGTGATAGCCCGACCGGAGGTCCAATTTGGTGAAGACTCGCGCTGATCCCAATTCGTCGAATAACTCATCAGCCGTCGGATTGGGAAAATGGTCGGGTATGGTTACGGCGTTTAATGCCCGATAATCGACACAAAACCTGTAGCTTCCATCTTTTTTTAACGAGCGGTACCGGGGACGAGAAGGGACTTCGACTAGGTTGGATAACCCCTTGTTGCATCATCTCCCGAACTAGCCGTTCGATCTCCGTTTTTTGGAAATACGGGTATCGGTAAGGCCTGACATTCACTGGTTCCACTCCGGGCTGTAGAAAGATGCGGTGATCCCCCCATCTTCGTGGCGGCAATGTTTGTGGTTCTTCAAAAACTCCTTCATATCGTTGCAATACCTCTCTGATCAATGCTGGAATTTCAGCTTTTTCTTTCTCGGGTCCATGGTCTTCATTAGATATGGCCCATAATTCCAAACAATAACCAATAGTATCAGTAGCTCGCATATACCTCAACTGGTGTAGAGATATGGGCCGAACTGGGCTGGCCTCTCCACACAATGTTATGGGCTGGTTCTGCCAAAGGAACTCCATAGTCATCTTACTATAATCGTGCGTGATTCGGCCCAAGGATCTCAACCACTGCACACCTAAGACAATATCATGGTCGTGTATTGCTAACACGAACAAATCCACAACAAATTTGTTATTCTGGACCATCATCGGCACTTGTGTACATCGAGCTTGGCAAGTTAGGGAGTCGCCGTTCCCGACATAGACTCGAAATGCTTCAGTACTGATTATTGGTAATTTTAGTCACTCCGCCGTCTTTGGATGGATGAAGTTGTGAGTACTTCCTCCGTCTACCAACACGTCAACTGTTTGGCCGTGGATTTCTCCCTTCAACCTAATGGATATGGGTGTCGGTGATCCTGCTAGGCTTTGTAGAACAGACACATCTCCTTTAAAGATGGTCTCGGGTTCATCATCATATTCAGCTCCGCCTTCCTCATTCTCGTTTGTCACTAGCAAATAGTATCGACCGTTACAATGGTGACCACGAGACCACTTCTCGGGGCAAAAGTAGCATTCCCCACGTGCGTCCTTTTCTGCTTTCTCCGCTGGTGATATCCTCCGAAGTGGTTTTGCTGGTCTGGGAGTAGCCAAGAGTGGTTCTTTGCTTGGAGGTATGTACGGGCCAAGGGGCTTTGTTGGGTCTGGATTGGATTGATTAGTGGACTTATTGTATGTGGGAGTCCAGTTCTTGCGGGCTGGTTGCTGGAGTTCTTCATATTTAGCAGCCGTTTCGCGGGTAAGAGCGAAGGCTCCATTCAGAGTACTGGGCCGGTTCACTCGCAGCTCTCTGCGGACTGGGTCTTTCAACCCAGAAATGTAAACTGAAATTAACGTGGTTTCAGGAACTCCTTCCACCTTGTTCAACAATCTTTCAAACTCTGTTTGATAGGCCATGGTGGTCGTTGTTTGCTGCAACTTGGATAGGAGACCAAAGTAGTCCTCGTACATTTCGGGATCAAAACGGAATTTGAATTGCTCTTCAAAATCTGCCCAGGTATTAACTAATTCATTCCGCTTCATCCGCCGAAACCATTCCACCGCGGCGCCGTCGAGCATCAATCCTGTCACCTTCAAGCGTTCCTCCTTCGGAATGGCGTTGAACTCAAAGAATTCAGTGGCTTTAAACAACCACGTGTGTGGGTCGGATCCGTCAGTCACCGGTGGATCCATCTTGAACCTTCGATACCCAGGTGCATTTTCCCCACCCCCATGAATTCTGGATTTGTTGTTACGGTTGTATGAGTTCTCCCCAGTGTGGATTGATTTCCTTCCACACGTTCTACACGATCGTTTAACGAATCAAGCTTCTTGTGGACGGAAACAATTTGTTGATGTAAGGCACCTCTCTGGATCTCGGCAAACTCCTGAAACATCTCCGTCAGTCGCTTCTCCATGGTTGCGGCCAAAGCTGCTGCGGAATTGGGATCTGGTGGCGTCGTCATCTCTCAATGGAAGCACCAAATTGTTAAGACGATACCAACGTATCGCTTCGAGTGGATACAGACTCCTGAGACAATTAGTATAGAGAGAACAGAGATTGGAAGAGACTTGCTTTGGGTTTTCAACTTCTTCTTATTCTCCAGAAAAAGGAAATACATGGAAATAAATAGCAGCAACTTTATTTGCAAGAATAATCCCCCAAGTATTTTGGAGTCCTTCTCGCTCGCCCGGATTGACGTGGCATCCTAGGCGTTGACTCCGTCGTATCATCCCTTTCCCGATCGGAAACGACCTTGTCCTCAAGGTCGATCATTGGGAACTCCTCCTGGAACCGGGCCCGATATTAGAAATGGGTATTTTAAAAATTTACTCTACTTAAAAGAAAAGATAAATTTGTTAAAATAAGACTAGAGCTGGCAAATCAGTCAGTCAGGTT